AGACTGAGCTGAAAAGTAAAAATCACTAAATGAAAAATTAGTTCTATTTAGCTCCAACCAGGACAGTACTTCACTGAAACAAGGATTTCTGAGGGTGTAGTCATATATCTCTATTTTTTAATTCAAAAAAAGGAACAAGATGAGATTTCTGTTTCATCCCACTTATTCCTAAAACAAACTTCTTAATGTATTGTTTTGTTCTACTCGTCTATTTGAAGTTTTCAGGTATAGTGAATTCTATCGAAGTGAATATCTGCAAATTTTTGTTCTAGGACTGCTTCTAGTCATACGACAGAGCGACAGATGTCACATGATCTGGTTGCTGTTGGCAGGAAAAATGAAAACTTTCATCCGGTGTTTGAACACATGGAGTCTGTAACACAAAATGTTGAAAACGACCCATCAAGAGAATTTACTCAGGAAATAATCACAATTATCCATCAAGTTAAAGGTGGCTGTAATACTTGGGGCATATGTATGTGTTTATGTATTTATACTTATTGAAACCAAGTCTAATGAATTAGATAGGCTGTCCTTGTGTATCTCAGGTGTTTGCCTTTGGCTTCATTCATTTGTAGTTTGGCTTCATTCTGTATTGTTCAAGCGAAATGCAGGTTGAGGATTTAAAGTAGTTGGGTGGAGGGTGATTATCAGAAGGCCTCAGTCCATAATAGGGGCAGTATTGTGGAGTGTTAAGGTCAAAAGGATTTTATGTTAGCGCTTAAGAGCAACCTGCTTGTTTAGGAACAAGAGAAGAAAAAAGGAGCTTTGCTGTAGTCACAACATCCTAGATATATACATACAAACATATCTATATATATATAGATATAGATATATATAGTTTCTTTAATTTTTCAGATTAATGTTTAGACTGCTGCATCATGTTCAGTGTCGAACTTTATAGAACCTAGTCATTTGAGTACTACTATGACAGAGCTGACAAACAGTTAACTTTCTGTTCAGCTTAGTCTTATTAAATAAGAAGGACGTCTAAGTTGGGCTGGCCTAATCTTTCATTTGTTAATGCTGAGCTGCAAGTAGAAATATTTTGAAATTTAGTCTCAGAAGTTGTCTTGGTGTCCTTAAGTGTTAATCTTTTAAAAGATGTAGTTTCTCACTATGTGCACAAATACTACGAATAAACATGCTTGTATTTAATCTTTTCACAGCAAATTACTTTACATCATCTGACATAACTCTACATGAACGGTTCTCAAAAATTCAGGATAAACCAATTGCAAATATGAATGAAGTTAAAATACGTTTGGATCCAGAAATTCACAGGTACTTGATGTGCTTTTTGCCTTAATTTATTTGCATTAAGGCTGTTAATCTTCAGTAGACTTTACACAAGGTAAAGAGTTTTTTCACTGACTCTAAACTACCTGCCATAAACAATTGTGTAGCTTGTTAGTGATGTGTTTGCTATTTATAGCGGTGGCACTTGTTTTTATGTAATGTTTTTATGTTCCAGGAGGATTGACATGTCTCTAGCAGAACTTCAGAACAAACGAACTGTGCCATCTGAATCTCCCCAGGTATCTTGACTGCTTAATTTTTTTTGGTAAACAGTAAGTTAAAATGTAGGTGTAAACAACATTTTCCCCTTGCTATTGGTAGGTCATTTTTATATGCTTTGAAGACCATCGGTTATTCTGACTATTTTGAAAGAAAGGCACACTTGAGCATATTGACAGATACCACAGTGGTGCAAGTATACTGTGTTCACTGATGAGTAAAATGCAAGCATGTTCTCCAGAGCAACTGCAGTGTGGTTATACCTGCTGCTTAAAGCCCTATCTGTTTGTAAATAGTGTAATTACAAAGTAGATGACTGACACGTGGCTCTTACTTTCCCTCTGAAGTTAGAAAAAGCCTTAATATTTCTCCTGCCCTAATGTTAGAATGGCCTGACACCCCCCTAATTTCTCAGAGTGCTATTTTATCCCATGCTTTCATCCAAGGACATAAGATTTTCTGTCTTCCCCTTTCAAGCTACTGTGCTTTAGTTACAATTTTTTTTTCTGTAGTACAGGTATGTCGAAATTCAACTTAATTAAGAATAGTAGGACTTTTTAAGATTTCCTGGAATTTGTCAATATTTTTGTCTTGGCAACTCCATGCAAAATTCCAGTGCTCTGTTCACTGTTGCTGGGAAACTTGTAAAAAGGCAGGTGGTATAAGAAAGCGTAATTGTTTAGGACTTCTTTTTGTTACTGTTTTGGACTTTGAATCCTTGGGTTGATGTGCAGACAGTTGAATTATGTTAAGAAGGTTATAAGCCCCTGAAGGACAGAATCATGTCGGTGTTTAGTTATTATCAGCTAAGTTAACTTTAACCCTTCCTCTTAACTAGAACATTATGAGAGTGTTAGAAGATCCAAATGATCTACGGCATGATATAGAAAGGAGAAGAAAAGAGAGATTGAAGAACGAAGATGAGAGAGTGTTTCATGTGGATGGTGTGACTCCAAGGTAATTAGCAAATAACAATCTCGTTGGCCTAAGCCTGTAGTTCCCTTATGTGTTCATTTTTTACTCTTCCACAGTTACATTCACATTTGTTGTGATTCTTTTCCATCATTTGTCCTTGTAAGTTTGACTTGTACCAAAATTCAACTGACATACGTTGTAAACTACTCCGTAATGGAATGTTACCTTGGAAGAGGTTAAGCTGCAGGGGGGGCAGTGGGGAAGTGATAAGCAAGCTCAAATTGTAGCACTGAATGTGAAGAGGCAAAGAAATGAATTTAAAGATACTTAACTGTTTTTCAACTCCTTGATATTCCTATAAAAGCATTCTATTGGTATTTTGTAGTTTCATGAAAGTGTTCTAGGTTAAATACATTGTTGTGTTGCCCTGGTTTTGTAATGTCATGTGGCATATCAAGAAAGGATTTTTCTGATTCTTGGTGAGTTTTGTGAAGAAAAGCTAGATTTTTGGAATAGCTTTCTACTGCCATGAATTCCTCCAGCAGGTTTGTTAAAGGTGATTGGCTTTGAAGGTTTAACCACAGTAATGCTGTTTCACTTTAGATGTTGTAAGGTTGGTTGATGAGAGAGATGGCTTGACTTGTTTGTTTTAGAAAAAATTGTCACTGTAATGAAATGTATCTACAATATGATTTACAGACACACTCATTATTTACAGATTACTCTTAATATGTTGCTGTTTGTTCATTTTAAATGGCAAATAGTGGCAATGCGTACATACTTGGGAAAAGTGACTTGTGAAGCTGCAGAAGAAATATTTCTTGTACTTGAGATTCTTTAAACAACAAGAAGTTACCAAGTGGGGAAAAAAATATATTGGACTGCTGCATATAGCCTTTTATGTACCCGGGGCTATGTCTTTAGCATATATGTGGCCTGATTATGTGGGAAGACTTTTATTTGCCACTTCTACTGTCTTGTAGGAGGCTCAAGTTCCTCTGGTAAGTGGCTGTCCTGGAGCTCAACATGAGGAGGGGTTACGCTGTCAGAGTTGGTGGACAGTGTAATGTGGGCTGAGGACTGAGATGATATGAAACATGGATGAAATTTTCCTGAGACTGGGATTTTTTCATAGTTCACATACTGGCAATATGTAGGAGCTAGTCCAGTGGACTTCTGTTTTTGCCTTAGTTTATTTTGCAGCTGTGGAAATGGTTTCTGAATGTTTTATGAACTATGATTTTTTACTTCTGGTGGTTACTTTTCATGGTATGCATTTTGTTTGGAGGTTTATAGACACATCTCTGTACTACCAACGTGCTCAGTTGTAAAAACCAAGAAAGCGAAAACCTAAAGCCAGAGTATCCTGCTTACTGAGGATGGAACTGGAGCATTTAGCCAGTGTCTTGCTATTGATCTGAGCTTCTGTTGGATTTGGAATTTCATGAAATGGAAAGTTCTGTACAACTTTCAAGATAGTACAGAATACAGCAGCTGCTGAAGTGCAGAAAGCGTTTCAACCAGCGGAGGGCAGCAATGACCAGGCATGCAGGCCTAGCGTGGTGAGCCTGGGAAACCTGGTTCACACAGTGGAGGCAAAGTGTCTCTGTGAATTTCTCATTGTATAAGCTTATACAGCTTACTGTGTACAATTCTGTGCGATTTGGGCTTGAGTTTTGTCAGAGGACTAGTTAATGTCGCTTTGCACTTCTCAGTGATATGGATACTAGGTTAAGGTCATTTAAAATACAGGATTTTGGTATGCTATGGCTTTAGATTTTAACTGTTCTCTCTCTCTCTCACATACACATCAGGAACCAGCAAAGCTGCAGTCTTTCAAAATTACATAACTCTCAACTTGATGGCTTCCAAAAGCCGATGAGATTCATTAAGCCACCTTTCAGGAAATTCATTGGGAAGCCTTACCTGGTAAGCATAAATGTAGAATTAGTAGCTTCTACATTTGTTGTTTTTATGCTTATAATTAAATTTTTTTTGCTGCATTTTCTATGCTGATATAAATCATCAATTATGCTATCCTGCCCTTTCAAATTTCAAGTGAGGCTTTATTATCTTCAGACTTTACTCAACAGTAAAACTAATCAGTTTCACAGTTCTAGTGCAAAAGTACTTCCTCAGATATCTGTTGAATCATAGATTAATATAAGTGAGCTAAACCCACTTTTACGGCCAAAGGCTGATACAACAAAAATAATTCTTTACTTTTGCATGCCTGTGCTGTGCTCCATAACTTTGCTACTGTTTTTTATAACCCAGTAGCAAGTTGGCTAGAGATTTCTTGTTTCAGAAAGCTAGCTTAGATTGGTATGATGGGTGAAATCAAACACTTTTTCAGCTAGTTTAAAAAGAAGATGGTCAACTTTAGATCTTCTATTGGATAGCAGAAACAGGTCAAACTTTTGAACTAAATTTTAGGTTCAAAATTACTTACTGAAATTAATTGATTAAGAGGCTTTATGAAATCAAACCTCATATTGCTTGTAGCTTTGTAAAAGAAATTTGTATGTAATACTGCATTTCTTCCACTGAATGCTGTACTACCTGGACTATAAATTAGAAGGCCTTTTTATTGAGCAGATAACCTGAGGTAATGAGAAACAGTTTGAGAAAAAGAATACTCTCCTATATTCTAGTTCTCAGTTGGAAAGAAAGGTCTAATACTTGTTTTGTGTGGGGGGCACTGTTATCATAACAAGGAGAAACACTGTTTTACTGAAAGTTCTGGTAAGCTTACTTTAAAAGCAAATTAAAATGAGGAACAAATCACAGAAATAATTAGGAATGTCTGAAATAGTATTCCTGAGGATGTGATATTATGCAATAGAATAGCTTGTCTGTGTTGATACCACATTTATCAAAGTGAGTTTGGGTGCTTATTCTTTTTTAGGCTATCTTTCTGTGATGTACTTGAATACTGAAATGACGAAGACAGTTACATTAGGTCCAGTAGAAATAAACTAGTGTCTTCTGGAAAATTCCTTCCAAGTAAATGTAGTCTTATTTCCAAGTGTTTGTGCTTGTTTAACTTGGGGAACTGGTGAGACCAGAAAAGCTTTATTAATGTGTGCAGTCTAATTCTAAAACATCTTTCTTTTTTTTTTCTCTTTCTCCTGGTGGATGCAATGTAGGGAGGAGAGTAGTGTAAATTGTCGTTCTTTATACATTGGAATTAACACCCTACAGACAGGATTCCAAAAGACCATGAAGCTTTTGAGGTTCATCAAAAGTAATTTTTATTTAGTCAAAGTTCTGACCACCACTGAAATGGAGCTGCCTTGCAGATAGAACAATGTGTATTTCAGTGTAAAACAAAGTAAGCTTTTAACTGTAAAAATACTACTTAAGGCTGATTGAAGTCCTCAAAACAAAGTAGTAATTGCTTATTAAGTAGCACAGTAATTGCAAATGAAAAGGGGGTTAGTTTGAAATAGAAAATGAGTTGTTGTTTGTGCTGAAGGTTGAGGAAGATTGCATTTTGATAACTCATAGGAACTGTAAACATGCAGTTTTACAAAGTCCTGCACTGCAGTGAGGAGTTGTCCTTTCAGAAAAACAGTAGCTATGGAACCACGGGCATTACAAATATAAGGTGTCCTGAAGAAGGAACGACTCTTTGCTAAGTCAGCCATGCAGGAGCTGCTTTGCAGACGAGTGGGAAGATAGAATATTTTGCCATCCATGTTTGTCAGTAAAACTAGAATTAATCAGTGCTCGCCAACTGGCTTGGAGGGTATACAGACATTCTGCAGATGTGTCCACAGTACATTAATTGGCACTTTAAAACTGCATCTCCTCTTCTGTTTTTGTATTTCTGTTCTTGACTTTTCATTCTTACTCTGTTCTCCTTGTCTGTTTTCCTGTGTATTCAGTATGTCTAATGCTCGATATGTAAAGTAATGCAGAAAGAGGGTATTTTTTTTTTTTCCTGGGCGGAGCAGATCACTAATACAGCTAACTCACATCTGAGGCAGTACAAATAACTCAGCTGAATAAGCTTGCTTCAGTAGTGTGGCACTCCCTGTGATGTGTTATGTTAAGATGTGTGGTGTTAAAAATGGCTTTCCTTGAAGGACTTCTTCAGGACTGGGTGAGATTGGAGAAGAGCTTGTCCTGGTGGGCAATAGCTCAAGTTCAACCTCCATACCTGTAAGCTGCTGGCACTGCTTTAGTATTTGCTGTGTGAGTTAAATGTGGTGGCATCCAAGCAGCCAACTGTAAGTTCAGCCACTGTGTTGAGTAGGTTTTTTGTAATAAATTCAGAGCTATGTGGCTGTATTTACATTTGTATTGTATTTGTTAGGAAATGTATTAGTAGAGTTGAAAGCAGCCTTAGAAAAACAGAAATGAATGAAGGTAAAAGCCATTTATAGCTGCTTTCTGCAAGAGGACAAATGTTTGGAATTTGCCATTCAGAGAGTCTCAAAAACCAGAGTTCAACAGTTTGGAACGCTTTTCTGATTATTCAAGAATGGACCATGAAAAAAATTGTTTACAGTTTATTAGCAAGTCTGTTCTGTCTGCATTAGATGACTTTAATGTAGGATATGCCAGTATGTAGTGCTTCTGTAAATATTTATCATATACAATGATGGAAAAGTGTGATATTTCAGCTGCGTGCATACTCTTGAGGTGGCTGTCATGGGAGAGGCTGGAAAAGGGCCAAAATGAGGCAGGAGAGTGGCTGGAGGGTGTGTTCTATTTTGGGCGATCATGGCTGGCTGACTGCAGCTGCTCGGTGTGTTGACACAACAATTTCAATACTACTTGTCTGTGCTGTTTGCTTTTGAAATCACGTGTGTTTCTGTGGCAGGCAAGTAATCCTCTAAATGCTCCCCTGTAATAGAGTTAAAAGTAGAATCTTCTAAAGACCAATGTAAAGGACTACACATTCGTTGTCTGGTTGCTGTGGTGGTGTGTACAGTGACAGTGCATGTGTCTCCTCTGCGCTCACCTGTGATGACCATATGCTAACCGTATTATTGCAGAATACTAATCTTCTTGCCTTTATTGCTACCTGAAGGGATGACTGCTATAGCAGCCTGTCTACTGCACTTGCTGCATGCAAACTGAGGCATCTGTTCTGGAGAGCAGGGGTGGAGAACCTTAATTGGGTTGTAACCTGCTTGGATCTCTCTGAGAAGATGATGATCCAGTCGGGTGGTCTGTGTCATCACTTCAGCCAGCCTGGACTCTAGGCCCTATGTTCCTGTTGCTCTGCTTTGAACAGTGTCATTGTGTCAATGCCACAAGATTGAGAGTTGCAGTAGTTGTTAGTATAACGTGGAAACTTTGAATAATTTAGTAACATTAACCTAATAACTTTGTCTGTTTTCTGACTAGAATTCTTACTATTCTTCAAAACCAAGTGATACTTACCCTCACAGACGCATTAGAGGATACCTTGAAAATGCAGGACCCATCGGAAGACACTTCAAGGTACAGATCAGCTTTTGTCAGATGTATGTTACCTAAAATGGTGATTTGATCCTGTTGAGTTTGGTAACACGAGACACATTTTTGAAGGTATTAAGTGCCATGAAAAACAGTGTCAACATAGCCTAATTGTTTCCATTGAAACAGTGAGAAGCTTAGCTTTCAGTAGGCAAGGGGACTGGCAATGGACAGAGCAGGGTTGTGCAGTATCATATTCATGCAGTTGAAATAAATAAGTTCACTGCAAAGCTGAGAATGAGAACTGCAGAAATTAGACAGTGATTAGAAAGCTTATCTATCCAAAAACCAAGCTGGTCAGCTTCTTTTCTTTCACCTGATGTGTGCAGAAGCTTGAACTATGGGAGATGTGAATTGTATTGCTTTCAAAATTGTATTACTGTTATTTTATTAGCCCTTTCATGTAGGGATTTCTGGGGCACTAATCTCTTGTGTATACCCTGCATGCTGCTATATGTGCATTTAAAAATAAAAAATTGTGAAGCTTTATTCACAAGGCCTCAAGATTATAAAGAGGCAGGCAACTATGTTTCTTCCTGGGGTAGTGCAGTGGCTTTCTGATGACATTTGATTGTAAAATGTAT